TGATAATTTATGTCATAAAAACATTTATAAAATTTGGCAATTTCAATTCCACAGATGCAGGGATTTTGGAGGCATTCTGTAAATTACCCCGAAGTACTTTGGTTCAAAAATTACCCTATGATGCACCATTTCACCCAGTTAAAGTTACAGACGCAAGAGGTTTAGTAGTATTATAGATAGATAATGGCAGAGGTTACTGTACAGTGTCAAAGATGCGATACATTGAATCCCCTCTCTCCAGTGGCAGATTAAGGCTCACCTGTCCCCTAAGCACTGACAAATCTTGGTGCCCCTCTCCTTTGTACATACTGTACAAATAAAGCCAAGCTTAGGCTACATAAAAGTGTTTTTGGTGCTCCCTTTGGGCCTGGTGCCCTAAGCACATGCTTAGTCTGCTTAATGGTTAATACGCCACTGCCTTTCTCTTTGAAGATTTGTGGTAGATTCAAAACTGTCCAATGTAGGTATCCAGATATCTGTATATGTCCCTTATGATAAAGTTTGCTGAAACCTTCAAGAGGAGTGTTATCAATATAGATCCTTTCCTTTTTAAATCTGTATTTTGTTTGGTTTAGTTTCATCTATCTCTGAAATTTTACCATTCCCTTTTTTCAGCAAATGGAGAAGATGATATCAGAAAAACTCTTGCAGAAAGTTGAGTTATTACAAAACAAAGTATTTCATACAAATGTTATTTAGCTGTTTATATAGAATGCTTATCCATGCATGCACAAATATGCCCACACTCATGCATGCGCGCGTGCATGCACATACACACACAGATGGACATGGTAGTACAGGATACAAGATACACACAAATACCATCCAAAGGTGAAATTTTTTAAATTATATACAAACATACCAATAGCTTCCTTAGATTCCTTCAGAGTTTTTAGAATATTATTTATTTATTGCTACTCTAGATTCCTTCTGTCTTTAAATATTACTAATTATTACTGCTATAATTTGACGAATTGACAGTTGAATATCATCTGACACTATCTGAACTCTTAATATTCATAGGAAAAGAATGTATTTAAGATGCATTTATGTCTAAGGACCTCTTCCCAACAACTCTTTTTCTTCCTAAAGAACAGTGGGGAAACATATTCTGACTAAAACATTCTGATTTCACAAAAATTTAGGAGGACAAAAGATAAATATTACAGGTTAACTGAGCTAGGAGGAGTTTTCAGACTGAGAATAGCAAAAAAGAAGAAACAAAATAATGTGTGGGATGAATATGTTCGAAAGTTTTATAAATATCTATTATTAATGAAAATATATCAGCAAGAGAAGAATGTCTTATTACTAGCTCATCAACTTTCCCACATTTCTCAGCATTTTCTTGCATTGCGTTGATTTTGTCATTTATCCCATTTTCTTTGTTACTAATGTGTCTTCAGTATCTAACATTTTCGTGCAAACTGTCTTGGATTGAGAATCTATATAAGTTTTTCTTACAATTCTGATTTGTCTTTTTGATCTGAGATGTCCATCTCCCATGCATATTGTTGTAATATAGGTTTAATGGATCAGGTTAAAAATATTTCTAATAAAAAAGTCATTCATCCTATCCTATTACTATTGATTTAAACATTTTTTTTAATAATGGGCATCTACTGGTCCGTGCGTATAACTTCTAGTTAGTGAGATGTGGATAACACAAAGTTAGTTGCAAGGTAATCTGTAAAGATAACCTTTTTACATAGACTACTTTGGAATACACTGAGTTTTGATTGCACATGTGGCATACTGCCGAAAGTATGCCCGGACTATCATAAATTAATGTTATTAAATAGGTTCTGTCACTTTATGTTTCAAATCAGCCAGATAGAGTTGCTGTGGGTACAAGGGACCTTAGGATTTGATTATTTACCACTGTTGATTCTGGATGGAGTTGCACTACCCCAGACAGACCTGGTGTGCAATTTGGAGGTTCTTCAACCTGCCCGAGGCAGTGATAGCACCCACCCATCCGCGGACAGGGAGGCAAGGCGACGGCCCACGCCGCATCCTCCTCCGAGCTGAGCCCCGCCGAGTGAGCGCTTCTGCCCGATGCCTCGCCTCCCTCTCCACAGATGGGTGGGCGCTATCACTGCCTTGGGCAGCCTCCCCGATGGCCCCTTTGGGATCGGGCTGGAGGGACTTGGGAAGAAAGCCAAGCTCGGGTTGGCCCGGTTCTTTCGCTTGGCAAGTGGCTGCACACTGCTCGCTTTCCCAGCTCTGCCCAGCCCGCCCGGCTCCGGCGTGGCCCTGGTGGGATGAGCGGAGGGCCCGGCAGGGAGGTGCTTGTTGCCTTGGCCAGAGCTCTGCCACCAGGCAGGAGGCCCCACCTGTCAGCTGGGCTGGGCGCCCCAGGTGAAACTCTTCGTGCTCTGCCCAGCCCCAGGCAGGGATGGTAGCTGGGCGCTTCTCCCGAGGTGGGCCCCAGGAGATTCACCTCCCCACGTGGGGTTGGGCTGCCCTCTTGGGCAGGGGAGGCTTTGTCGTACCGGTAGTAGGGCGTCGTTTTTAAAAGAATGGGCTTTGCCTTCAAACGATGCCCGGGAAGGCGGTGACAGGAGAGCCTGAAGCCGAGTGTCTCCGCTGGGCTCTGGTTGCAGGGAGGAGCCCTGGCCGGCCCTGCGTGGCTGTGCCAAATGCCACGTGGCTGCACCAAACGCCACGGCGTTGCTCTAAACGCCATGGCAGTACGGGGAGAAGGGAAAGCAACAGTGGTGGAAGCTCGCCTGATACGAAATGCCCCACCAACACCAAGGTCAATGCAGACAGCACCATATCCGCTTGTGCAACAAAAGTACTTCCTAACGGCAACCCCCCCCCGCCATTCCCCCCATTTCACATGTTTTAATATAGGCCTTAATTTGGGGGGAGGGGCTTAATTTCATTTCATGCCTATAAAACATGCTGGGACTTCCTATTGGGGAAGGCCTTTTGTTGGAGAAACATGATAGTTCTGGTTGCAATATAATTTTATAGCTCAGTATAGTGTAATAGTTTTTCAGTATGGTTTTTAAAATCTTAATCTGTGTAGTTTTAATTTTTAAATATTCTAATTACCTTCCTACTTGTTTTATAATTTGTAAGTTGTTTCCCTTGTAAGGAAGAGGAGCAGCATAAAAATTTAATAAATAAACAAACCAATAATCTTTTAACAATTATTACTCCGGAGATATCGATCAATAAGTTCCAATGCTGTAATGCTCAGAACTGCTGTGGGTATGCTCACATTTCATGCTAAACCAGCTTTTATCAATTTGGATATCATCCAGATGTCTGGACATCTAGAGAGTTCTCACGTTAAGTATAAATTGTAGGAATCCAGGTCTCTATATTACAATTGGAGTAAGTTGTAATTTGATTTAACATTTTCTTTGATATAATTGTTGTGATTTATGTGTCTGAACCTACATAGATTTTCCACAAATCATTATTAAAACCAGCATGCAAATGTTCAACACTCTGAAATCTGGCTAAGCTAATTAGAACAAAAAATTACCATCATTTTCTATCACTTTTTGATATGGAATAGACATCATACTTTATAATTTAATGCCATTCATATGTATTTTGTGTCAGATATGTTTTGTTTTTCAGTCAGGTTACCAACTGTAAAAGTGTGTACAGTGCATATAAGGAAGCCCCAAACCAATATATAAAATAGAATAATTTGCTTTTGTCTCTTTTTGTGCTCAATTCAGTAATGGTTTCTGCAGGCATCTTGCAAAATGCATATTTAATTGGGATTTGTATTAAAACTGAAAACATGTTTCGTTTCAAGTTCAGAACAAATAGTCCCCCTCCAACTATTGAATTCACATTCTTCAAATGGTTTTGTTCCCAACTGAATAAAAGTTGACATGGCTCCAGTATCCTAACCATATAAGCTAATGGGAACTTGGAGCTGAGGTAACTACCCTTGTTTCTTCAATTGCTACCAGTGATTTTATTTTATAGTATGATACTGGAAACCAAAATAGTAAATCAAAGAAAAATGTTAGGAAAAAAATCCTTCCTGAAAATATCAGTAATTTTGGAAAAGACAAATTGCTTTGAGTTATGACCCTCAGATTCTAATTAGGGAGACATTAATAGCTGTTTAAGAAGAAACACGCAAACTATTTAGACTCATGAATCTTCAGATGACATGAAATAAACGTGATTCTGTCATTTTAGATATACCATTGAATCTATAAATGACATTTAAGTTTCCATAGACTACAGAAACTGATTAATTTAATATGAAAGTGGTTGCTGTGCTGATTCCAAAAAAGACAGACAGGACCCAGAGTGGTTTGGGGGAAAAAAAATTGGCCAACAGTATAAGTAAATTAGCAAGATGTTCATTTCCACATAATTTTTTCATGTAGTCCAATTTGTATATTTTCTCAGAAATTCTAATTAATCTTGAGGAACGCTTAGTTTATCTTGACTGATCTTGGAAGCTAAAAGTGCTTGGCCCGGATTAGTAGGACTATGTAACTTGTAAAAGAGGTGCTTCAGAATATATGGAGCCAAGTGAAGCAGCTATAATTTTTCCAGAATGTTTTCCTGACTGTCTCTGCATGTATGTCTTTTGCACAGCCAGTTTGCTTCATCAGAAAAAATAAATAAATAAATGCAGCTGTGCATGTGCACATATGCAGAGAGAGATGGGAACATCTGTTAAAGCGGCTATGAAAATCTGGAAAAATAGGTGGTTGCTTTAACAATTCAGAAATAAATGTTTCATAAGTGACCCTCTTTGCACACAAGCATCACTTTGAACTTATTGGTACAGTATATTGATTTGAACATGGATTGGGAAATCACTTGAGAATTCTAAAGTTGTTTTCAAAAGGAGAAGACAAAAATCTCCCAGAAGAGTGCATTGGCAAACCATTCCTGCAATAACCAAGTAGTCTGTTTATTACTAAAGGTTGAACTCCACTTTAACTATTTTTACTTTTAAATATTATTTCTACAAATCAACCCGTTCTGATGTGTTCCTTGAACAGGTGTGGGAAAAGAAATGTCACTTGGACGCCAAGAAGCCTTTGAAATTTTCAAAAGAGATTATGTAGATAGCATAACTATTGAAGACAATAAACAACTCCTTAAACAAAGGTAAGATTTACACTCAACCGTAAAACTCAAAAGTTTTTGTAGGCAAGATGTAGATGATTTAAGCAAATAAGTATACTAACAGCACAGACTGTACTAAAAGGCAAGAATGTATACACCTAAGGGACATTGTTTAGAATAGGGATTACTGTAAAATATATCTCTGTGGAAAACTTTCCACAAATTTGTGAATTACATGACAGAGTAGCAGTGTAGGATCTTTAGTTCTATTCAGTTCTAGAGGATCAGGGATCTTGCAAATTGATCTGATAAGCAGAGATACCAGAATACCAAATATCTATAATAAAAAGTATTCTGGGAAATGTGTTCACATAATTAGTTTTGAATGAATAAAAGATGTATACAAACAAATGTAAAGACACATTTTATCTCTTAGTGGCTTTTTATAAGTAAAAGTAGATACACATTTTATGTTTCAATTTATAAATAAAAACTTGTGCCATAAATATGGATATGTGTGAAGAATTTATTTGCCAATTGGCTAATGTAATTGTGGAAAAATATGAATAAAAGAAAAATATACTGTACCATTTTAAAAATGAGAATATGCTACTCAGAAATCTATCTATGTTTATTAATTTCTTTATAACCTAAGATCATACCATATAATATTCAACTGCAGTCAGTTATGTAGCAAAACTGGGATTATACTATATAAATATTTAAATGTTATGTGTATGGGAATTCTCAGAAACTTCAGAGTAATGTCTTAGGGAATTTCCATGATAGGGTAATGGGAAATAGGGCTTTGAGCATGTTCTGCTATTAGTAAAACGAAATGAAATTCAAGTCACTCATCTTGAAGCTCTGCAAAATCTTTTAGGGTTTTGGAGAAAGGAACAGTAAATGTAGAATTCCAGTTAAAGAACAATAAAGCAATTATTATGAACTTATTTTTCTCCAGTTTTCCAACTCTCCTGTATAAATAAAAATATTTTAATAATACCATGTTTCTCCAACAATACGGCCTCCACCAATAGGAAGGCCCAGCATGATTTCTAGGCATGAGGTGAAATTAAGCCTTGCCCCAAAATTTAGGCCTATTTAAGCCATGCGTTTCCCCACCATTTCTCACATCTTTTGTTAGATCTACACTCGGTGAAGAAAAATGGGGGGGAAGGGCAGAGGGCAAATGGGGAGAAAACTTGCCTTGAGGAGTGCCCTGCAGGTAGCCTAGGTTAGAATACCCCGATAGCCGATAGAAGCTCCCTGAAGGCAGAGTCCCCAGACGCTTCAGGGCATGGCATGGCTGCCCGTGTCCCCTCGCCATTAGGCAGCCTCTTTCGGGCAATGGAAGCTCCCCAAGTGCAGTCACCAGCCACTTCGATCGGCCGGTAGAAGCGGCCTCGGGGCGAGCGCACACACACACTCCCCTTGCCCCAAAGCAGCTGGGGACTCTGCCTTCGGGGAGCTTTCGTTGGCCAATAGAAGAGGCCTCACGGTGAGGGGAGTGTGTGTGCTGGTGACTGCACTTGGGGAGCTCCGTCACCTGAAAGAGACTGCCTAAAGGCGAGGGGACACGGGTAGCCATGCCACACTCCAAAGCGGCTGGGGACTCTGCCTTCAGGAAGATTTTGTCAGCCGATAGAAGCAACCTCAGCAACCTCGTGGCGAGGGGAGTATGTGTGTGTGCTCGCCCCAAGGCCGCTTCTACCGGCTGATCGAAGTGGCTGGTGACTGCACTTGGGGAGCTTCCATCGCCCAAAAGAGACTGCCTAATGGCGAGGGGACATGGGCAGCCATGCCTCGCCCCAAAGCAGCTGGGGACTCTGCCTTCGGGAAGCTTTTGTTGGCCGATAGAAGCAGCCTCGTGGCGAGGGAAGTGTGTATGGGCTGCTCTAAGTGGGGGAGGAAATTAAGTCACCCCCCAAAAGACGGCCTAGCCATTTTTTCAGGGGTCTTATTTTGTGAGAAACACGGTAGTACAATAATTAAAATTCTTCAGGGGGCATAACCCAGAATACATTAAAATATTCAGTTAATAGCCCTTAAGGAAGTTTAATCACACTCCAACGAGATTGGCTGACAAACTTTCCACTTCTGTGCAGACATGGCAGAACTTCAGAATTCATAGTCCTCTTAAACTTTAGATTCCTTTAGCTGTCTTGTGCCATCTGTTTTTGATTTTTCTCTTCCTGGTTATACCTTCCATTACTGTATTATTTATTCTGTTACCATCCTCCAACCTTTCTTCTTAAGAATTATCACACAAATGATCAGTCATTATCTTTAGCTAAAGTAATAAATGCTGTGCAATTGTACTTGTAGTTAAATTTTAAATAGAAATACTTTTGCTTTCTGTCCTATTTATTCTTCCAATGTTGTTGTTGTTGTTGTTGTTGTTATTTCTTCTCCTCTTCCTCCTCCCTCCTTCCTCCTCCTCCTCCTCCTCCTGCAGGAAACCCTATACCATTTCAGACAAATGGTTGTCTAATCTCGTCTTAAAAACCTCCTGTGTTTTACTTCTGGAGGCAACTTGTTCCACTGTTTAATTGTTCTGTCAGGGAATTTCTCCTTAGTTTTAGGTTCATTCTCCTCTTGATTAGTTTCCATCCATTGCTTCTTGCAGATAACCTGGTATAGAGAAACAAAATATTTAGGTACTTAGATGTACATCTGAATAATATCATTTTAATATAAGCAGTTTTCCCTGTGTAATTCACATTTTGCTTGTTTTTTATACTGTGTAATCTTTCTAAGTTTTGCAGAATAAATATCCATTTGAATGAATCCAGTATAAAATAAAAGCAGGATTTAAATTTGACCTTTGGCCTGAATCCTAGCATCCACATGGAATAAATCAAATTGGGATGTTTACTGGGTAAACATGCATAGGATTGCATTATTTTTCTGTATTCATGGTAACTGCTGTAGATATTATGATACAAAGAGCACAAGGAGTGCTTTATTGTATGTGAAAATCCATTAGCAAATGACATTGGGAACTTTAGATACATCACATTTGTTTAAAACAAACTCTTCTCAGATCTACTCTGTAATTTGGAATGTAACTGCTGAACCACCACTTATACAAAAACTCAGTGACCAAGCCACTATTCAAATTGCTAGGTAAGATTATATATACAACACATTTCAGAGTTAACAAAACTCCCCTAAATGTAAATCTTTGTTATGCCAATCATATATATGTGATAGGATTACTATCTTTTTCATTTTGTGCTGGAGTTTTGATTCAAAATTACTTTTTCTTTATTGTATGGTTTTTATTTGTTGGCTTTTCCTGTATCCCTAATTGAAATGGTTGCATTCATTTTTCCATAAACCAGTGGTGTAATTCATGCTTTGCACTACTTAAAGATGTCCAGAGAACTGCTTTTTATAGATTTTTCTTAAGTCTTCTGTGGTAGGGTGGCACCATCCTCTCCATGCAACCACACTAGCATTACTTCCTCAGGCACCTTATTTTTCCTTCTCATCCATTTCTAAATTGTTTCCAACTTGTCAGTATTTTTAACCATAAAATCATGGGATTGAAAAGGATCAAAAAGGGATCCAACCCAAGTTTCTGACATAAATTTCATCAATCTGCAAACATTCCCCAACAGTTTATAGGATCCAGATCACAGTCCACCACAAGTAAATACACTGCTCAAAAAAAATAAAGGCAATATTTAAACAACACAATGTAACTCCAAGTCCATCACACTTCTGTGAAATCAAACTGGCCACTTAGGTAGCAACACTGATTGACAATCAATTTCACATGCTGTTGTGCAAATGGAATAGACAACAGGTGGAAAGCATAGGCAGTTAGCAAGACATCCCCAATAAAGGAGTGGTTCTGCAGGTGGTGACCACAGACCACTTCTCAGTTCCTATGCTTTCTGGCCAATGGTTTGGTCACTTTTGAATGCTGGCAGTGCTTTCACTCTAGTGGTAGCATGAGACGGAGTCTACAACCCACACAAGTGGCTCAGGTAGTACAGCTCATCCAGGATGGCATATCAATGCGAGCTGTAGCAAGAAGGTTTGCTGTGTCTGTCAGCGTAGTGTCCAGAGCATGGAGGCACAACCAGGAGACAGGCCGGTACATCAGGAGTCATGGAGGAGGCCGTAGGAGGGCAAAAATCCAGCATCCGGACGTCTACCTCTGCCTTTGTGCAAGGAGGGACAGGAGGAGCACTGCCAGAGCCTTGCAAAATAACCTCCAGCGGGCCACAAATGTGCATGTGGCTGCTCAAATGGTCAAAAACAGACTCCATGAGGGTGGTATGAGGGCCCAACGTCCACAGGTGGGGGTTGTGCTTACAACCCAACACTTTGCAGGATGTTTGGCATTTGCCAGAGAACACCAAGATTGGCAAATTCTCCACTGGCGCCCTGTGCTCTTCACAGATGAAAGCAAGTTCACACTGAGCACATGTGACAGACGTGACAGGGTCTGGAGATGCCGTGGAGAATGTTCTGCTGCCTGTAACATCCTCAGCATGACTGGTTTGGCAGTGGGTCAGTAATGGTGTGGGGTGGCATTTCTTTAGGGGGCTGCATAGCCCTCCATGTGCTCACCAGAGGTAGCCTGACTGCCATTAGGTACCGAGATGAGATCCTCAGACCCTTTGTGAGACCATATGCTGGTGCGGTTGGCCCTGGGTTTCTCCTAATACAAGACAATGTTAGACCTCATGTGGCTGGAGTGTGTCAGCAGTTCCTGCAAGACGAAGGCATTGATGCTATGGATTGGCCCACCCGTTCCCCAGACCTGAATCCAATTGAGCACATCTGGGACATCATGTCTCACTCCATCCACCAATGCCACATTGCACCACAAACTGTCCAGGAGTTGAGGGATGCTTTAGTCCAGGTGTGGGAGGAGATCCCTCAGGAGACCATCTGCCACCTTATCAGGAGCATGCCCAGGTGTAGGGAGGTCATACAGGCACGTGGAGGCCACACACACTACTGAGCCTCATTTTGACTTGTTTTAAGGACATTACATCAAAGTTGGATCAGCCTGTAGTGTT